ATAGATTGAGAGTTATACTGGAAATCCTCCCACAAATTCACTCCCACTCTTCCTCTTCTGCCCACACACTCTCTGTTACTGTGACGTCCACTCTTCCTTTTTACTCCTCCGCTTGGCTGTGGAGGCGTTCTGTTCTCCTCTCATTCATACACTGCCACGTTATTTCCATATTTCTGGGTGGACACTGTGCACTGAGTTGAAATTTCTGTGGAGGAAGAGGAGATGGCAGAGGAGGAGGAGGAAGTACCATGTTTGGCTTCATCCGAGCACATCAGATTTCCGATCATGCTGAGATCGTGATCAGACATCACATGAGAGCCAAGCTGTACAGATGGAATTATGTCATCTACAAGGGAAATTGAGCCAAAAACATGATACAGGAATTTTTCTCCAATTACTACGACAGTCTCTCTAATTACAAAAATAATACAGTTTTATTATTTTAACTAAAAAACAACAAACATTATGCATTTTTAACTTAGTTCCTCCCACCTAAGTCCCTATTATGCAAACCACAGGAGTCATAGCGACCCAGAATGGTCAATAGCCTTCCCTTTCCAATAATCATTGTGAGAAACAAGAATGTGTGCTGTGCCATGCAAAATTGGTGAGATTAGTACATTATGATCTGCCAGTGCCTAAGGAGATATTTTGAAGAATCTCAAGAGTATCATTTTCATTTTCAAGTTTAGGGAGGATGTTTACTGTGAACTGCTCAAGCTACTACACTTGCAGTGTGTTCCAAAGGGTATATTATTCATGTGTGTAATTGTGTGATGTGTATTATATGTAACCCTTTGGCACATGATGTGAAATCCTGACCTGAACAGTGAGAGACACTATGAAATTTCTGAACTTTCTTTTTTTTTAAAAGGAACAAAAGAAAGTCATTTTGACACAGATGACTGATGTAATTGATTTAAATGCTAATGATCCTTTATGAACTTCATTTTTTATTAAACGTTTGAATGTGCTTCACACTCTTTTATTTTTCTCTTGTGAATTATCTGCGGATTTGCCCTTCAGTCTGTTCCTGTTTTAGATCTTTGACACACTTTACAGTACAACAAAACATAAACGATGTAATAGATGAAGTGTTGATATAATTTCACTAGGAAGGACCATGCCACAACAATGTATCATTTAAAGGTTAAATGGAAATTCAGAAGGTACAGATGTTTGAGGATGGATGGATATAAAGGCAAAGGTTGATAGTGAAAGAAGGATGTCGTCTGTCAGGCTGCTCTGGGAGGATGTACTGAAGACTGAGCAGAGGGAAACTCAGTGTGCGGTTCTGTCTCAGATGTGTTTTCACTCAAGCTTATTACGGGCCCCCAGATGGTACCTATGAGACATAAGACAGGTGTGCACCAGACTGAATAGGAAGGGATGAGGGGAGGGGGAAGGGAGGATGAAGGTATGTGGGTAGAGATGAACAGAGGACGGGATGAGGTGGAAAAGTGAACAGATGAAAGGAAAGGGAGGGTGGGTCGCACAATCTGAGACAAACAGATCAGGATGGGTAGACCAGGTACAGATAGGCTTAATTGGTGATTGTGATGGCCACAGCCCTGGCCCTTACAACCAGTTTATGAGCGGTAACCTCATGCACAGTTTATGCTGTTTTCTTTAGGATTAGTTTATATACTTTTTTCATACACATTAGCCATTTGTTGCAAATATTTATTTGGTTACAAATAACTCACAGGACACTTAGTTCATTTCACATACATTATACTTTATTTAGTTGACCATACAGAAGCATCTTTTTGAGAGCACGCACCATTAGTTACTTTTGGATTGTCATTCTGTTTGTATAATTATTTGTTTCTGAGCTTACCAGTGTTGGATGCCACACCCAGGAGGGATCCAGGAAGTCTGCTGGGTTAAAGGGTTGGCACTTGGAGCAGGAGCAGCTTTAAAGGGGAGGTGGCCTAATTGGACACTACCACTGCTTGTTATGTCCGGGGGGTGGCTTTATTCTCTCCTTAGATATTTTGGGGTTTAGATTTATATTATATTGGGTATTTTTGTTGAGTTAAGGTTAAGTAAACGTACATTTCTTTTGGAATAAGTTTTTAGGTAGGTTTTGCTGTTATTTGTAGTTATGTAGTAGTGTTGTTGTTACTCTTCCCCTGTGTGTCAAAATTGGTCTGATCAACCAATATATAAGTCCCCTTTGTTTCTATTGTAGTAGGTCAGTTGTATTTTTGAGTCTCTTATGTTCAGAGCTTTAGTTACTGTTTGTTTATTTGACCTCTTTTATGGGCCCAAAAGTTTATTTTTATTTTGTTGTAATCATTTTTGGTAAATTAAAACCCTTACTTTTGAACTTCCCTTGTGACTCTTCTTGCTTACCTGCTTGGTCCCTCACAGTGATTACAAGTGCGGTTGAGGGGTAGCCCTGCTCCTGAGCCTAAGTTAACAAGTTGACTTTATGTCTTTGCTAAAATGGTGAAAAAATAGAAAAAGCAGAAGATGTGACACCTAAAACTGAAAAAAAGAAATAAATGAAATGCTAGGTAATGAATACTGAACTAACATTCATCTGAGCAATAATCATTACCCAGGTTTAAACCCCAAATATCCTGCCCCAAAGTGTGAGGCCTTGACCACAGGATCAAGCTCATTACTATCCCTAAACTTGCAGAGCAATGAACTGCAGTCCCCATTCAAGGCCACATTACCACATTACCACTATTTCTTCAGTATAAAGAAGTTCCACTTATAACTGCTCACAATGAGGTCTGTGGGTCCATACACCTCCACTGTACTTGATACCACTTTTTGAAATACGGGTAAAATTACTCTGTAGGTTAGTTGTTAGGATGGTGAAGACACATGATACAATTAGTTAGTGGCACCAAATGCTGCAGATTAAATTATGCTTATGCCTGACACAGAGATGAAGACATGGAGGCTTAAGAGGTCAAAGGGCTTAGGGTTGCACCATGTCCAGTCAACACATGATCATTTACTCATGAACAAGCAGATGGGGAAATGGGGGAGGAACCCATTTCAAAGGTGTTGCTAATGGTCTTTGTGTCAGAGCTAATAATGGAGCTACAGCAGGATGGAAACATCAATCTGGCAGCAAAAGAAGATATAAAGTGAATGTTTCCAGCTAGATATTGCCTCTTCAAATGCTGAAGTAACAATGCAAAATAAAAAGAAAAAAGAAAAACATTAATTATTAAAAATATTAGTTTCTCGCCACCTATAACAGCAATGCTATATGAAATGGACAGACAGTAGAAACAAAAAGTTAAGTATTTCTTATCCTGTGTGTAAGAAAGGGAAGCATTTTCGCCAAAGCTCTCACCGTATGTACCTCTGATTGTAGCTGTTGTGTAACCCAGGTTGATGCAAACGTCCCTCTCTTACAGTTGTGTGTGAGAATGTTTGTGGATGTTTGCCATGTATGGCTTCTGTTACATTTAGTGGCGCGTACTGTGTTCCAAACTAACCTGAATTTGGCCTGCTGTGGTCAAGGGGGTGTCGCTGAGGTTGTGGCCTCAGTGCTTGATCCACTCAGGAGAATAGTTAGGGTGATACAAACCTCCTGACGCATTCCCGCACTATATCGTAAACACATTCTGGAAAACACAACATATTCAGTTACAGGAACTTTAAGTTCTTGTTATCAGTTTGAAATATATTGACTATAGTGAACTCTCAGCAACAATCAAGGCCAGTCTCTAATTATAATTCAGTTTGTTCATCGCAACGTCATCTGAGCAAAAAAAAAACCTGTTATCACAAATTGTAATTCTATATATTATTATTTGATCAATTTGCTGTCAGTTTGTTCATTATGCATAATTATGGGCAGATTATTGCGCTAATGTTTTACAAGCATAATCCCCAGTTCTCTGAAGGTGATTGTAAGTCTTAAATCAGGTCTTAACTTAGCAGTGTTAGCAAACAACCGATAGGATCAAATTGAAGCATTTCACTCCAAGGTAGTAGAGCTCTCTAATAGAAAAAGTGATGCATGAAATGTGCAAGTGAATATCTCGGAAACTCAAATGATTCTCTCTTCAAAATAATTTGTTATGAGACACAACATCACGCAACCCTGTATGCGGGATAAGCGGTTGATGGATGGATGGATGGACATACTGTAACGTACTATTAAATGTACTGACACATGTATCAGTAAACACCAGACAACAATTAAATACAAGCTGTAAACTAAGCTTGACATTTTCAATCATCACTTGAGAAAAACATAACCATGGTACAAAACAAAAACTGACTTGGATTTTTAAGAAAATATGTCAACTGCCTGTTGTGTTACAGGTTGTGAATGTAGCCTTCGGCTTAACTGCAGACACCTCAGCCTTGCAGCAAGATCTTGATCATGGTCATTAGGCCGTTGATCTCAGTCATACTTTGGTCATTTGGCCTTTTGTTGTGGTATGCTGTCCAGGGTGACTCCTACTTCAGTGACCTTGACTTGGCAGGGGTCAAGGCTTGTTAGACATGTTTATGAAGATAGCCAGGGGTCAAAGCCTCTGTTTTCTGTTTGTCCGTCTGGTGACAAGAGAGGAAACAGGGGATAGGATTCCGGTAATAGATGAAAGACGAGAGTGGAGATGAAAGGAAGGGTTATCTGGTTCTCTGCGGAGCGCATCGATCTGTTTGTGTTTTCATGGGGTGAACGGGTTTGTTGGCCACAGTCCCAGCAGAAGTGCTGAGGTATTGGCTGCATCGCACTGTGAAAGTGTTGGTGCAGAGGCTGCACTAAAATTAGGGTTCAAGATAGATTTAAGGTCAGCGTTTACTGCTTCTTGTTGGGATAATAGCCAGTGGCAGTAAAAACAAAAAAACACTGAGCGCTTGTGAACAACTGGATTGGAGGGCTTTGAGATCATGAATCCTCAGTAACTTACCTACAAAGTCTGCTGGTGCTGCCCTCTTGTGGCCTGTGAAAGCATAGTACAAGACATCACATTCGAAACATATAAACCAAAATGAAAAAGAACACCTTTCATAAATGAATAAGAATATTCTACAAATCAATTTATTGCAGGAATTACACAGTAAGGGATCTGGAAAATCTAAAATGTCAATGAAGATTTTCTGTTTGTTAATTAGTTAAGATTATTCCCACTGTAATCAAGTTTGTTTTATGATAGCAAACACTGCTAATATTGTATATACTTCATGGAGCATTATATCACAACCAAGCACAACACACAAACAAAAACAGGTTACGGTCAGTGTAGAGTGACTGCTGTAACTTTAACAGTAGAAAATGTTGCATCTTTTAATAGCTCTGAATGGGACAACGGGTCCAAGAGGCCTTCTTCCTCCTACTGAGCAAGACTGTTATCCCCAAATACTATATAGTAAGGGATAAACAAAACACAAAACTATGTTAAGACCTATATAAAGCATCTTAACTTGCATTGGCACTTAAATATACAGTCCTCCTTATCTGTCTGTGTTAGACTTGGATGTACAACAATGATGCAATAATCCTTCAGTCTTAATGAAAAATACTTTTAGCATTAAATCAACAGGGATAATGACAGTAAATGAAAATAGAAAGTACATGTTATGCGTACGTATATATATACATATATATATATATACACATGTGCATTTCATTGGGATCAGAAATATTTGGTTCACATAATGTGAGAAGAATAAATCCTTTAACACACAGCTGTTATAAACAAAGTTCTGACAGAATAAAGGTATAGGGAAGGTGATATATTTGTCTATTTGTTTTTGTGGTTGTGCAACAATATATATGCAGACATCCCAAAACACGCACCTCTTCCAAGCTACTTAAATCCATTCATATATGTACACTCACACAAATACATACAAACACATGCATTTACACACATCTGCCAATGCTATTTCAGTGCTGTTTTGTATGTTACTAAGACGCTGTTTGTCAGATGTTGACACACTGCTTTTGGATCTATGAAATCTCAGATACACTCAAGTCCAACATTTTCTCATAAATCTTATAAATAAAAATGGACTTAATAACACACAAAGTAATTCAATAATAACCTGAGGAGAGTATGTCGAATTATGTTAGTGAGGAATGCATTATATTTACAACAGCGTGATAGTGATATATGGTGATTTAGCAAATGACAAGCGTCTGTAACCAGTGGTAAGTCCCATCCTTTACATGACTATGTTTAAACAAGTTAAAAGGTGTGAAAATCTATAATAATAAGTGGCTATATCTTTGAATGCTGTGGCACTGGTAGGGAAGAGAAATAAAAATAAAAAGACAAAATGGAATAAGGCAGATACGTAAGATTGAATAGCACCTGACACAAACAACCCTTTAAAAAGAACACCAGTTTACCAGTTTAGGGGGCATGTGCTCAGTGCAGTGGTAAACTGGCAATTCCTTAGAGACATGTTGTGATCTTGTTAGTTAAATGTTCTGCATAGAGCAAAAGGCCACTTGGTCTCTGTGTTCTGATTTGTAGTTTGTTCCGCAAACCACATCTCTGACCCTCTCCTCTCACACATGCAGGGAAATAGCACCATCCTTTGAAAACAGGAAGTAAAGCCAAGGACGAAGTCGAGGACGTCAGCAAATGCAGTATTGCTCGTAGGTTAGGAAGGAGTTTATGTCCTCTTCATGCACACCTGACAGCGGCTTATATGTGTTCGGAGATTGCCTGCTTTCAGCGTTGTTGGGACAGGCTTCCTGGAAAGAGGTGGAGAGAAAAATGTCACATGTGCACCTATAAAACCAAGCATAATATAAATATGGACGTAATGTGATAATGGCAACAACTGAAAGCAACAACTGAAATAGTAACTTAACACCTAGCTGAAAAGTGTTTCCCCACCCCCTCTGGCTGAAAGTGTCAAGCTAGTTTCAACTCTGACCACACACAGCATCACTGAAGGGTGTGGTTGGTTGTAGTCAAGGTGTGCTTTGTTGCACCTGTAACCACACCCAAGAGTGATGTCACGGGGTCCTGGAGTACACTTGTACATCACCGCAGCAAGGTGAAAAATTAAACCACTGGACCTTTTCAAGGGTCTTAAGTTACTCTTAATACGAAACAAGAAATACATTGTCTAAGTGTTTCTGTCTTACGTAAACATCTCATTGTCTTCAATGGTGGCAAGCCAAAAGCTGTAGGAGTTGGCGTAGTAATTGCAGGTTCCACGACCGTGACACTCGATGAATGGAGCACTGCGGAATTCCTCCAGGCAGGAACCAGGAGAGGCCAAAGCCTGGCCTGAACCCTCAGCACCTGCACTGGTGTGCTAAACAAACATGCACAATGAAAACATTATTTCACATGCTTTGGCAAAGTAAACGTATGTTTCACCTACCTATAAAGCCCGTTTAAATTTAATTAAAAAACAGCTAATTAACTTATTCAAGCCGATTCTGAAGAGAGCCATTAAACTACATTTTATAATACTGAATACAAGAATTCCGCTTTATCTACTTCCTGGATAAAACCTGGGCTTGGTTGACATATTTGTGGTGTAAGGAAGAACTGAATGTATATGATCATTTTTGCCTTACCATGACAAAAGAGTAGCCAATCCATAGAGAGTCCCACCCATGAGGGCATTGTGGGATCATGATGGTCTGACTGTGAATTGCTATTACCATGGCTGGGGCTTCACACACAGCACACCTGTACACACACACATATGTGAAGTGGGTATATATAGATATACACACATATATAGATATACACACCTAAAATGTAACAGTTTGGATACAAATGCTGCCATACCTGCTAATGAATGGTTTAATGCTTTCACCAGTGATAGGTGCCATGCTCATGGGCATGGGCTCAGGGGAGGTGAGCCAGTAGGAGTAGTCATTACGGGAGGCAAAGTTACACACGTTGTTGATGTTACAGAACAGGAAGGGCATGGGGCTGAACTTCCTTAGACAGCTGCCGGCCGTACCTAAAACACATATCAAGGAGACATGTAACTCATCCTACAAATATTTTACTTACTGCTTCCCCTCCTCTTTTTCTCTACCCCACTTCTTTTCTTTATTCTTTCTTTTCTCTTTCTTTTCTCATATGGTGTTTCTTACCTAAGTCCTGTCCATGAGAGCGTTCGTTGCCTTGTACGTAGAGCAAGGAGTAGCCATCATATATGAGCGAGGTTCCCTCAGGACATTGTGGAATCTCCACTGTTTGGCTGTGACGGGTTACCAGGAACCCGTGATCCATGGAGGAGGGGCCAGGTGGACCCACTTGACCTGGAACACCATCGGGTCCTGGGGGGCCAGAGTGTCCTCTGGGTCCTAAAGACATGGACTAATTAATGGCAACAACAACAACAGCAAATCTTACGCACACCTTTCATTCCTGCAAGCGTCTCACCCTGTGGCCCAGGCAGGCCAGGCTCTCCTTTGGCTCCAGGCTGACCATGATATCCGGGAAGGCCATCTTCACCTTTTGGCCCTGGAACACCTGTCACACCTGAGATCACAAAAATTATGAATTTATTAGAAAAATGGATGCAAGAATGTGAGCATGAGAAAACTGACATGATAGGGCACATTTGTAAGCAAAAAGTCACCTTGCTGTCCTTTCAGTCCATATGGCCCAGATGGCCCCTGTGGTCCCGGTAAACCTTGAATGCCAGGGAGCCCAATGTCTCCTTTTATGAAGGTGTGTTGGCCAGGGGGACCAGGGGGGCCTTCAGCGCCTGAAATATACAATATCTTTATAAGAAATTTTCCAGTTGTTCCTTTTGATTTTTAGCAGTTTATGGAGAACAAGTTGTAAGATTATCAGAGACATGAGTAAGCACTGACCAAATTTTACTGTAATGATTCTATCAAGTGAGATAGAGAAGACACTGAAATGTTTTCCCTCCTGTTTTACCTTTTTCTCCTGGGAACCCTCTGTCTCCAAATTCACCTTTGAATCCCAAGTCCCCGACATTACCCTTTGCACCTAGAGTTTGTGTACAAAAACAGTGTGTTTTAATGGTAAATTATCTCAATAAAAACATATCTTTTCTCTCATCACGACACATGTCTTTCACACATGAATGCACACACACACACACACACACACACACACACACACACACACACACACACACACACACAACACACCCCTCACCTGGGAAGCCAGGGACACCCTGCAATCCCATCTCTCCCTTCAGTCCGTCGATACCTGGAAGGCCAGGTTGTCCCTATAACACACAAATACACAGTTACACGAGGTGCTGAAGAGGATAAGACTGAACTACAGGCACGTTAATTAGTGTTTCTTTAAAATCTTTTTAAGTCAATTTACAGACAAAATTTTTTTTTGCAGCATTAAAACAGCACTGACATGCATCAGCTCTCTTGCATCAGATTATTATTACATACTATGTACTAGTTCATAACATGTACAGTAAAAAAGCTTAAGTTAATGGAAAACAGCCTCATCACATACAGGAAGTCCAGGAAGTCCAGGGTCACCCTTATGTCCCGTCTCTCCCTGGAAACCAGGGTTACCCTGGTCTCCTTTCTCTCCCTTTAGGCCATCTCTGCCTGGCACACCAGAGGGTCCTGGTGCTCCTGGGGAACCTGTTTGAAGAACACATTATATAACATATATTTCTATACGAAACTCTCTTCACTAACGGTGGCTCTATACTGGACTACAGTTTGGCGACTGGTCCAAATAATAAATTGCTGGCATGTCATGTATGTGACATACCTCCTTCTCCGGGTTGTCCTGTTTCTCCCCTATCTCCCTTAGGGCCCTCGAGAGAGGCACCTGGGAATCCCCTCTCTCCTGGCTCACCCTGGGGTCCCTCTGAGCCTGCAAGTCCCTTGTCACCTTTGATACCAGGGACACCTGGATGGCCTGGAGTGCCAGGGAAACCGGGACTACCTTTGTCACCTGGAGAGAGAACGATAAGGCCACATGATGAAACTCAGATTGGCTTCAGTGATTGAGGAATTAAATGAATCAATGATGAAGGAACTCTAACCTTTGCTACCAAGCACTCCAGGTGGCCCGGGGAAACCTCGGCCAGGTAAACCTGCAGAGAAGGATAAGACAGATAAAAAATGTTTGGATTGATAGTGAAAGGCTTGCAGATGTTAGGATAAATCCAAATCTGAAAACCCAAAGTAGATACCGCCTTGTCTTTACAATTAGTGGTTGTCTCTACTTGGAAAAGGCATTGCTATCTGAATCTTTGATGGGTGCCTTCCGGTATCTATGTTCCCAAAAAAAATCAGCATCAACATAAATAATGTGGCAGTGGTGGTTTGGGTAAGGGTCCTAAGCCAGAATGACCCTGTAGAATTTATCAGGCTGACTCAGGCTACTACAGGCTCACTGTATTGTAACAGCAGTGTAGTCACCTCCTAACTTCTTGGACACTCACCTGGGTCTCCTCTCTCCCCAGAAGTTCCAGGGATTCCGTCCACTCCGGGGTCTCCCTTCTCTCCAGGAACACCAGGAGGTCCCTGCAAGCCGCCTTCACCTGGGATGGAACAGGTTAACACACTTTGTTAGTTTTGGTTTTTCTAGCAAGCCTAAATAGGCAGTTGTTTGCGACAGGTATATGAATCCTTTCTTTATCTGTTTGATAAGCAGACCGTTCCCTGAGCTGTCTTTGATCTTTGTGGAAAAACATGGCAGCTAATCTTGAAGGCTCCTTATTTATCCAAGAAATGGGTTTCTGATTAATCTGATTTGAGAAAAAGGCCAAGCAGCTGTATAACGCTATATTATTTTATGCTTACAGTGGAAAAAAAATGTCAAAGTTCGGGCAAGTCAACTATCTGATAAATGATAATGAATAATCCTGTTACTTACCAGGCCGTCCATCACGACCAGGTTCTCCTGCAGACCCTGGCAGCCCAGGGATACCCTTCTCACCTGGTCTACCTGGCTGACCTGTATAACACACACCACGATAACAACTCACATGGAATACAAACATGAATAATTACTTAGTGTTGTAGACAAATAGGATGAATGAGACAACACAGACTGAAATCTGACCTTGATACCCGAGGCTTCCTTTTTCTCCCTTGGACCCTTGTGGTCCTGGCTTGCCAGGCATACCCTCATGACCCCTCTCACCCTTGTCTCCTTGTAAACCTGGGAATCCTGGCTGCCCTGTCAGACCCTGTGAGAGAAGAGGAATTGAGAGGAATGCTAAGTAAAGATAGGTAGGTACAGATGATCATTTAGAGGAACAAGTCAGAAAAGAAGATGTTGAAAGTGCGAAGACTGTAAAACTGACAAAACATGTCCATTAGGACATCTAATCGCCTAGGACTCTGTTAGGCGCCAGTTTACATTCTTTAATCTCGACATTTTAAGTTTATCCATTGTTTTTTTTTCAATAGTGGTTATTTGTGGTTTCACTGTCTGTGTAAATAGTCCACCAAGACACAGAGAGAGGGAGAGAGAGTATGTGGATCGCATCACATTCACACTTTTAACAAACAGTGAGCCAAAATGAAATGAAAACTTTTTGGACTAGAAATACAAAACCCTATGCTGAAAGCATTGACACGTGTAGTAATGCACATTACTAAACATACACTCATACAGCAGAATTTGGTGATCATATGTTTCTCGTTGCAAGCTCCTTGAAAGTTGACTTTTCTTCCAAAGGTACCATGTACACATACTTTTGACTCCAGGTTTTTCCAAGATAGTGTTTTATCCTTTGTACTGATAATTTAACTGTGAGTTGAATGGCCATCCAAGCCTTGCTGGTGCAACCTGTCAATTTTCAGTGCACAATAGAAGTATCTGCCTATGTTCAAAGAATTTGTGTTATAAAACACAACCCATGTTATAACAGTGGGTTACCTTTTCTCCTGGAAGTCCTGGGAGTCCAATACCGGGCTCTCCAGCTGCACCCTTATCTCCCTTTAGTCCATCTGTGCCTCTAAATCCCGGATGTCCCGGTGTACCAATATCTCCTTTAGTACCCTTTGGACCAGATATACCTGCGTGAACACACACAAGCAGACAAAATGGCAAGACATGTACAAGAGTTGCGTTAAACTTGCATTAAACAGCTTTTGTCACAATTTAATGTGAAATGTAATAAAACAGATTTTACACTTCTAAATTTCATGTTTGTAACACATAAAACATGTTTACACACACACACACATACACACATACTCTCACACTGGTTGGCATTCCCATGACCCCACATTATGTGTGCTTCACTTGTGCGTTCTTACCTGGTATACCCATCTCTCCTAGACTGCCTTTCTGTCCAGGTGGTCCCATGCTGCCAGGCTCTCCAGGAGAACCAGGGTCTCCTTTCTCTCCTGAGACAGTGGGATTGAAAATTATCTATTTACCACATGTACTGTAGTTTATGTGGTTTAAATATCCTAAAAATCTGCAATGCTGTTCAGTTGGTCACCTGGTTTTCCAGGTGATCCAGGATCTCCATCTTTGCCTGGCATTCCAGCGTCTCCAGGAACTCCACGGTAGCCCTTCTGTCCAGTGGCCCCAGGCTCACCTGATAAAAAAAAAGAAATTCGAAACCAAATTGAAATATTTCTAATATCCAAACTCACCAATGGTCCAATTTGTAGCAGATTTTTATGTCACGCATATACATGTACTGATCCATAGGCCTGTATGTTGTTTTATACCTGTATCTCCACGGTCTCCCTTCTCCCCTTTCATATGCTCCATGTCAACTTCGCTCATGTTCCCAGGAGGTCCCTGAAGTCCTGGCTCTCCTCTTTCTCCTTTAGATCCAGCCTCTCCAGTATCACCTTTTGGTCCAATAATACCGGGATCACCTGAGAGAGATTGAGGAAAAGAAAAATTCTAACTGATAAATCTAAAAAAACTAAAAATGAACGCTGTATGAGAGAGGCTGAAGAAAGCTAGTACGCAATAAGTATTTTTCACAGTTTGGTCTTACTCACCTCTCAGACCAGGAGATCCAGGTGTACCAGGTGGTCCAGGAAATCCCGGTACTCCCGGTGTCCCTATGACCCCCATTTCGCCTTTGGGACCTGGCAAACAAACACACACTCAGTGAGATTACTGTAAATGAAAAAGAGTAAATTCTCTAAATAATACACCCAATGCAGCCTCCTCAGTATTGCACCAAAGACTGAAAATTTCATAATTATTTTCCTCTAAAAGGCAGCCCTGGTTCTTCCTTGTGTCAAATTTAAGGGTAGGTTCAATATTCAACCTTACACATTACTGCCCCTTAGTGGTAAGCCTAATGTACTGAAAAGGCAAAAAAGACTTCACAGTATATTCTCAAACAGTACATCAACTACAACGGCCTAACATCATGTGATTAAACCAGGATAATTTCAACCACATTGTTAAACAGCAACAACAACAACAAAGTCATGTCATACACACCACTGCTGCTGTGAGTTTCCTTTTTTATACACTTTATTAACACTTCCTGCACAGATGTTTCATGGCCTGAAGACCTGAAAGGCGTTTAATGTGTAAGATGTACAGGAAGAGTTTCACTGACAAGACCTTAAAAGTCAAGCAAAGAATGGCAAAGTAGATGCTTCAAATTACCTCAAGAGACAAAGGTTTTCCTGATAAAAATAGAAACCCAGAGCAGAAAATGGTGACGCAGGCATGAATATGTTGTTATAATAAAGAAATTAATCCTGTAGAAATGTACATTATGTTAATTTTACTGGGAACTAGCCATTATCTACACTCACTGGCAACTTTATTAGGTACACCTTGATAGTATGGGGTTGGACGCCCTTATGCCTTCAGAACTACCTTAATTTTTGTGGCATACAACAAGGTGTTGGAAACATTCCTCTGAGACTTTGGTCCATATTGACATGATAGTATCAGGCAGTTGCTGCAGATTTGTCGGCTGCACATCCATGATGTGAATCTCCCGTTCCACCACATCCCAAAGGTGCTCTATTGGATTGAGATCTGGTGACTGTGGAGGCTACTGGAGTTTATTGAACTCATTGTCATGTTCAAGAAACCAATTAGAGATGATTTCAGCTGTGTGACATGGTGCATTATGCTGCTGGAAGTAGCCATCAGAAGATGCACTGGTACACTGTGGTCAAAAGGGATGGACATGGTCAGCAACAATACTCAGGAAGGCTGTGACGTTTAAACGATGCTCAGTTGGTACCAAGGGGCCCAAAGTGTGCCAAGAAAATATCCCCCACACCATTACACCACCACCACCAGCCTGAACCATTGACAAGGCAGGATGGATCCATGCTTTCATGTTGTTTACGCCAAATTCTGACCACCTGAATTCTACCATCTTAATGTCGCAGCTGGAATTGAGACTCGTCAGACCAGGCAACATTTTTCCAATCTTCTATTGTCCAATTTTGTTAAGCCTGTGTGAATTGTCGCCTCAGTTTCCTGTTTTTAGCTGTCAGGAGTGGCACCCGGTGTGGTCTTCTGCTGCTATAGCCCATCTGCTTCACGTATTGTGTGTTCAGAGATGGTATTCTGCAAACCTTGGTTGTGACGAGTGGTTATTTGAGATGAGACCAGCCTGTCTGGCACCAACAACCATGCCACATAAATCCCCTTTCTTCCCCATTCTGATGCTCAGTTTGAACTTCAGCAAATTGTCTTGACCATGTCTACATGCCTAAATGCATTCGGTTGCTACCATGTGATTGGCTGATTAGCTATTTATTTTAGGTGTACTTAATAAAGTGGATGGTGAGTGTATTTGTACAAATAACTAAACAAGAAAAAAAATGCAAAAAATACCCACATGCCCAAAAACAGTGAAAAACAATGCATTGTTGAAAAAGTGCTCAGTTTGAGTTTTTTTGTTAATGTGTTTGCTGTTAGTCTGTCTCACCTGGAGTTCCAAACAGACCGTCCCTGCCTGGTAAGCCTTGTGGCCCTGGCAGTCCTTTAGGACCTGGGTCTCCTGGAAACCCAGGGTCTCCCTTCTCTCCATGAGGCCCAGGCATGTCCAGTCCAGGAGGACCTGGGTAGCCCTTTTCTCCCTTAACACCTTCCCTACCTGTTCAACATGCACACATACAAATATGTTTGTTATGATTCGCGCAACATCAATTGACAGTCAGGCGAGGGAATTTTTTTAAGATATCTTTCATAGTAAGAAAATCACAGACATGGCTGTGATCTATTCAAGTGTCCATGCATCCACAATATCAGGACCCTGAAACTGATTCAGCCATCATTAATCTTATTATTAACACCTGTGCTTTTTCTTCTGTGACATGTCAAAATATCTAAAGGTCTGTATGTTTGGATGCCAAGTTTATGCTCACCGAACGGTCCAGGCTCTCCAGGTGGTCCTTGTGGTCCAGGAGCTCCGGGCGAGCCTTTTCCTGGGGCACCTGGTAAGCCAACCTGTCCAGGAGGTCCTGGGGGTCCCACCTCACCTAATTTTAAAGACCAAAAAAACATAAGATGTGCCTTTTAACTCTGTGGCATGGACTGAATCAAACCAGGCTTCACACCAGAGTTGTTGTAAGTGACTTGCAATACCTTTGACTCCCTGAGGCCCTGGTGGTCCTGTCTGGCCTTCTCGTCCAGCAACACCAGGTAGTCCAATGTTACCCTTCTCTCCGGCAAAGCCAATAATTCCTGGGGGGCCCTGCGAACCTTTTGGGCC